GAATATATAAGAAAAGAACTGAGAGAACATTTCTCAGCCATCATTTTCATTTTTATTTCTCCCACTATCATCTTTCTTAGCTTGCCATTTGTTGTTTTCTTACCTTCCAGCTTGCCAAGAAAGGCGTGAAATTTATAGACATTCCTTATGTCGTTAAAGGTATGGATGTGTCTTTCAGTGGAATATGAGCTATATTGAAGCAACTGCTGAAGAAAAGCTAAAGAACAATGAGTGCAACCCCTGCAGATTGTGCTACTCTTTGCAGTACATTTATGCTGCTCACTCTGTTAAAGAATTGAGAGGAAAAAATCAGTAGGATGATAATTTTTTTACTATATTGCAGGAGACATTGTTTGCAATGCTTGTGGAGATAACAGAGCGTGCTATGGCTCATTGTGATAAGAAAGATGTTCTCATAGTCGGTGGTGTTGGTTGCAATGAGCGTTTACAACAGATGATGAAAACGATGTGTGCTGAACGGGGCGGAAGGCTATTTGCCACTGACGATAGATATTGCATTGACAATGGTGCAATGATAGCATACACTGGCCTTCTTGCTTTTGCTAATGGCACTTCAACTCCACTTGAAGAATCTACCTTTACCCAGCGTTTTCGGACAGATGAAGTGAAAGCAATTTGGAGAGAAGCTGATTTGGGAAAACAGAATGGTCTTGTGGATCAAAATGTGTGACTTTCCGATATTGAGGTTGGTCTTTTTCCGGTAGGCACTTAGGGTAGAATATAAAATTTATATCATTATTTGGTTTTTATCAAGACCTCTTGGTCAACAATATTTCAAAAGTTTTAATTGTTGATAGAACATAATAACATCATCCAATTCATGTAGGTAATCTACCCACTTAGCAGGATATTGTTGTTATTGTGGTTGTTGTAGCTGGTGTTTATCGTGCAAAAATTCTTTTATCCTTAGTCAAGATTAGGTGGGAAATAGTACTAGAGTTCAGGATGGAGGTAAACTGATATTTGATATTTTAGTTTCACGTGTCCTTTTTTTGTTTCACGGAAATCTTTGGATATTACAAGTATGCTTATGAATAACTGTGTTGAAGGAATGCTGTTTTGAAAAAATGAATTGATTATCTTTTTGGTTTCAGTGAAACTGGCAATAAAATTGAAATACAGCCTTTTCCATATTGTGAGACATTTCTCCTGCACATTAATTTACAGGTCTAACTATTCTATTGCAATGGAGATAGACAAGTGGAATACAACATGTCAATTGTCGTATATTTCAAATTAGCATCTGTCAAGCTGAAGATTGTATCTTCAAGGACCTTGAAATTAATTCATGTAGTAAAACATTATGTATAAAAGATCTTCATTTTGTTTACCGTTGTTGTATTGCCTCATTGCCGTTGTACCCTTCATGCCAATACTTATTAAGGTCCCAGTTCGGTTCCTTTAGCGAATCCTGACCTGGCACGGGTGCCCTTGTGGCGCCATCTTTCTACTTCCACCTCATCTCTAGATTATGTACACTTGACTGCAGTTCATTTGCATGACTGTTGTAAAGCAGTGTTAATTAGGTAGTTGTATACTCAGATTATCTCACTATATATTGAGCCTTCAGTTCAAGCATATTTCTTTGTGCGTATCCAGTTGCCAAGTGTTGAGAAGTGAACTTGGTAGAGTAATGCGGCTTCACTGACAAATATACGAAGTTACAATACTGTTGTGCAGATCATTGATTTTATAAGCAGTGAGCAAATCTATGGCCTGCACAGACAGTTGTGACTTGTGTATGAAAAACAGGTCTGATGTGAGAGTACGGACTACTAGGACATGTAGTGCCCCGTTTTCTTTTCGTCATATGAAGGATACTGAAGCAAACTTGAATCGCCACGCTGTGACAAGAAAATTTTGAAGCTTAACGAACCATCGTTAAGGTGACTGCGTCCCCTTTTATCAGTTCCTGCCGATTCGAGGTATCTAGTTTATTGTAGAATGTTTGTGCCATAAAAATTTTTTTTTATGGTCCTGCCAATTTTTTCTAGGTTGTGACTAATGTATAGGACATGAGGGAGTAACTATTTGGAGGAAAAGTTAAACTGATTGGTCTACAAATAATTTTTATTGTAGAATGTTTTTTTCTACCATTTTCTTGGTTAAGTGATGGTCACAGTGAACTTTTGGTAATAGTAAAGATCAAATTGTAATATTTTTAAAAATTTAAAAAAATATTGCATTAAAAATAAATTTAAAGTTTCAGATGTTTCTGGACTTAAATTTGAAGATTATTTTGCTCGTTTTCCCTCTTAAATATTCATTAAGGTAGCATTGGATGGGTGGATTTATATTTAAATTTTAGATTTAAAATTTTGGATCATGATCTCACATTTCAAATCTATATATTTTAAAAATTTTATTTGGATAATTTAAAAAATTTTCAATAAAAAAGAGATATAAATTGAAATTTAAAAAATAAAAATGAATTGAAAACGGTAAATTTATTTTTATTTTTTTAATAGATGAAAGGTGATAGTAAGAGATGAAAATATGAGTTGTAGATGTATTGATAGTCAAAATGAAAAGAAAGAAAAAATATTTAAAATGACTAAAATTTTAAAGGAAATTTAAAATTACACAAGAATTATAATAAAAAAATGAATTGGGCAGTCTTAATTCATAATATTTTTGTGTGTCGAGATAGAAATTTATTTCAAATCCAAATCTTGATTCTCTTTAATCCAAACACACTGTAAGAGTAATTTTTTTTTAAAAAAGTCACAAATTGATCTCGCAACATCAACAAAATGTTTTATAATTTAAGACACACCATCTTTAAAATTAATGCCTTGCAACTTTTTACAGAAGGTGTATTTATTAATTAGAACTAAAAATTCAGGCAGGCCGGACATATTGAGACTCAGCCTGAATAAGCCTGACTTAAATAGGCTCAAAATGTTGAACAGTCTCGACTCCTAAAAAGTCCAAATAACTAAACTTGGCCTGAATTCTTTTGAGTTGGCGTGTGGCTCGAATACCCAACTTTTATTTTTTTAAAATTATTTTTGTTAAAATTTTTACTTTAAAAAGATTTATTATATTTTTTACAAACTAAGAAATATTTTTTTAATACTAAGATGTATAGGATTCAAATATATGATAGTAGTATAAATGACCTAAAAATTTTAAAAATTAATATATTTATTACATTTTATAGATTTTGGTAAAATAAAAAAAATTTTATCGGGTATTCGGATTAATTCGATAGGCTCAAACATAAAAAATATTGTATTTTTTAAAGGTGGGTCTAATTTTTTTTTAAGCAGATTTCGGTTAACACATTAAATTCAACCTGAATTACCGACTCTGTTATTATTTACTTGGCTTAGAGGTAAACGTATGCTTTTACAGTTGCATAATCATCGACCAAGCCGGAGACATCCTTTTAGACTGACTGTTCTTTTTTTTTTTTTTAATGCATTTAGAGCGATTGTTCTGTTAATTATTTTTAATGAATTTGATCATTCAAGTTGGAGACAAAACGATAAGATGGTGGTGGAATCAGTTAAAAACGAGGATTGAGGGACCACAGCAGCAGATTAGGAAGGGCATGGGACCGAAAAAGTGGTCCAACGAGGATGTTGTGTCCTCTCATCTCGAGGCTGTATATGGCGGAAGTTGTTACTAACCTACCACGTGCCACAACAATATACTTCAAATAATTCCTCTCTTTCTCTTTTGCAAAAAGGAGACTATCATTAACCTTCTTGTGTGTTTAGTTAGCATGCCCCTTCTCATTTATCGCATTAACTCTTTGGAAAGATGAAATTACCACTAAAATTCTTCCAGTGAATTGGTCTAAAAATTAGTTAATCTCTTCCATGATTTGCAATCCTCACACAAATTTCCAAGTAATATTTATTATTTATAAAGGAAAAACTTGTCAAATTATTATTGTTTAGAAATCATTTTCTTTCATATACTATCGAACTCAAGTTTTTAAAAGTCACAAATGAAAGTACGAGAGGAGCAAATCATTGACATTGAAGGTAGTAATATATGTGACAAGCTTCTTTTATAGATGGGTGAATTTTCAAGAGTAGTCATTACTATTTACCTATATGCACACACTCATGGGTTGGTGGTGGTGGACCACTTGGGATTCTGTGTCCACCTTCAGGCATCAATCCAACCTGTTCACAGTTCAACAATGCACCCCCTCTGGTCTTTTGCCCTACAACAAAGTATCTGAATCATCCAAATCTTCAGTGACATTCAACTAAATATGTAAACCCCCTCTATCCTTCGTATGAGATGTGAGAAATGACTTGTTATTTTTAACTTGTTCATGGTACGGGTTGTTTTAAATTTTGTATTAAAAACCTGAGTTTTGTGCCTTAGGAATGTGTTACCTTATTTATTACTTGTAAATATTATAATTTCTTATATAAAAAATATATTTCATAGTATGATTCATTTTAATTAATATATTTTAAATAAGCGGTGCATTACATGGGTTATTTAAATAAATCATACTATTTTCTGTTTATAAATAATATGATTCGTTGTATTTTTTAATATTATAAATAAAAAGTGAGTACATTTTAAATAAGCCGTTGGAACTTGGAAGCATCGGGCCTTGCCTTGGTTTCGTGGAACACACTAAGGGCAATGCTGAGGTGGCTCACAGTTGGGGACAAGAGTGACAAGACGATCCCAAGAGGCCAAGACAATGACTTGCAAAATTACCCGCGGTCCCACACTGGCTCTGAGTCGTCTTGTTCATCACTCTCTTCTCCCTCGACAAACTGGCACTTGGAAATTTGAACAGACAGAAGAGAGTGAGACCGAAGGAAAAGATGGAAACAACAAAAGTGGGTTTGAAGAGAGAAGGCAAGAGGCAACAACAAGCAGCAGGATTCATAATACAGAACCTGAAACGTGGGGCTGCTTTGCTGGGAAAAGCATCTTCTAGTACTCCACCACCCTCCTGGAGACTCGAGGCTTCGTCTCACCATCATGGCACTGTCGAAACTCCTGTTCGTGAATTCCTCCATTTCCCACTTCCAAGGTTTCTGCCAGAAACCTCTGTGCTTGCCTCTGGCGGATTCTGCCCACCAAGAGGCCCCACTTGCTGCTGTAACCAATGTTTACACAACACCTTGCCGCCGCCGCCGCCGCGATAAATCGTTTGAGCAGGTTTATTCTCGATCGTCTTCTATTACGCTTGTTCTCAAATAATGTCTTATTTGTTTCCTTGCATTGTTAAGGACCAATGGCTAGCCCCCTCATATCCCTCTTCTTCTTGTTGATATATACTTACCTGCACTGTTCTTGTTGGCATTCGGTTCACCACCTCTTGATCTCTCTTGACAATCTGGAGTAATTTTCGTTGATATATAGTAATTTATACCTTTCTGGTAGTTCAAGCGAATTATCTCTTACAAAATTTTTTCTGCTTAACCCGTGCTGTTGTTGACTCTGGTTTCACACCTCTTGATCTCTTTTGATATTTAGGAGTATTTTAGCCGTTGATCTAGAATTCTTCTCACTGCTTGCATTAGTTTTCTGTCACAGCGATAATAATTTCTAGTGGAATTGAATGAGTTAGAAAATTTTCTCTCCAGCGATTTTTCATGCATTTTCTGATTTCTGTCAAAACCTGATTCTTACCCTGTACCTCATTGCAGCCGGCATCTGCAAGTAACTTGAAAAAACAAGTTGCTGCATCACTTGCTCAGCACACATAGATCTGTTGAACAAAATTGCCACGCTATACAGCCTCTATCCTCTTCGAATCACGGTAACTTGGCTGAGGTAAAGCTTGCTTTTGAATCTTTAGCAGTTCTATGTTGCTTTGCCCTACTTTAGATATGTACTCTCCCACTCTTATTATACTACTTTCAATTATCTTAACAAAGTTAATTTTTAATAGTATAAAAAGTGTGGATACTTTTATTTTTATCTTTATCTTTAAAATAATACAACTACATTAAATACCTTCATACTAATCAATAAAGGATAAAATTGGAAAAAATGAATTAATTATTACAATATGCCCTATATTTTAAATCAAAAATTACATCTAAAAGGTGTCGAGAGTGTATATTTAATACTTTATTTTGTTTAGCTCAAAGTGTGATATACTTAGATGATGGACTTTGTAATGAGTTTTACATTGGAAATCTCACAAGTTGTGTAACGTTTATAAGTCAAAGGACTATCTCACCTAACAAATTAGTCTTTTGAGCTCTCTCTTTAAGCTTATAATCATTATATCGGTGCTTTCATTAAGATGCTTTTTCCTTACAAAAAGGGCTACCCACGGATAGATATGGGAAAACAGGCAGGTCTGGCCCTTATGGGCTCGACTCTTAAGGGCTCAAGCCCTTATGCCCAATTTCCAAAACATGGCTAGTTTTTAAAACTTGACCTTATTTAAAGAGCTCATAGTCAATCTGTAAGCCCATTTTTTTTTAAAAAAAAATTAATAAAATAAATAAATACAAATCCAATATAGAATCTTGATCAAGTTTTAAAATGAAGGTAAAAATCTTCAATTCAAATCAACCTTATCAAATTCTAATAAAATACAAAAACTTGTATATACAAAGTACATATTAATCAAAACAAGAAACAAACTTTCCAAAGTAATATGTTTAATAAATTAGTAAAAATTCTGCGAACATTGTATTAAAATAAATGTTAAAAGAACCAATATCAATTTTTTTGATAGCATAATACTTGAGCCAACATTGATCTTTGGGGAATAAGGTCTGGAAAGCTACCCAAACTCGAGCCTTTTTTTTTTTCAGAACCTATTAGGGCTGAGCCCCAAAGCTAGATTTCCTTAAAAACTTTAATTTTTAAGCCCGAATTCTTATTTAAATAGAATTTCTAAGCTTAGCTCTTATTCCCGACTCTATCCATGGAAGGTCCTGACTAACAAGAGGCCAAGTGAAGTGTAGTATACTAAAGCCACCATAGACGTTAGCTCTTGACGGAGTGGCATTGTAACAAATCCTACATCGGGTTGGGGAGACTCAAATTGAGTGTAGTTTATAAATTCAAGTATTTCTTCCACTCAACATACTAGTTTTTGAGATGAGTTTCTTTTTGAGCTCGTGCTCCTTACAAACTTCTACTAAAAAATACATTTAGCAATCTCTCCTCTGTTTCACGGGAGACAAATAAATCACTTCATTGATTGTTTTCAATTATTTGTTGAAACTGAATCGCCTTTCACCATTGACCCATCATTTTTAATGCATCTTATAATACATTTGTATATAGGAGAGTTTAAGTGCTATTTTACCCATTATAGCTGGTTCAAACCAAGAATGATGCTTTTCATCTTAAAACAGACGGCAAGATGCAATTGTGAGGTAACACCCACAAGTTCCTTGGACGTCAAAGGTAGGATCCGAGAATCAGTTGTTGTAACTTTAAAACATCCAGAGGGTTACTAAAAGTACTTAACCGTATCCAGAGCATCAAAGAACAACATGCATCAAATATATCTGTTGTGAATGACCTGAAAGTGGAACTAGATCTTTCTCGTGCACAGATCAAAGAATTAAAACGAGAGAAGCAAATGAATATTTGGCAAATAAAGAGCTTAACGAAGCAAACGGCAGAGAGAAGTTTGTCAGGAGGAACAATGCAAATGACAGACTTAAAATCGCAGTTCAATCAGTCGAGGAAGAGCTAGAAGGTGAGACGAGATCAAGGAGGCATTCCGAAAGCCTGCATTGTAGGCTGGCTCTGGAGCTTTCTGAAGTGAAGTCCTTGTTTTATGGTTCTTTGAGAGCGCTTGAAAGGGAGAGGAAAGCTCGGATCTTGCTTGAGAATTTGTGTGACGAGTTTGCAATAGGAATAAAGGACTACAAACAAGAGGTACGCTCTCTAAAGCATAAGTCTGAGAAGAGTGATGATGTAGGTGTAGATAACCTTGATAGGTTACTAGTTGATATTTCAGAAGCTTGGCTTGATGAGCGTATGCAGATGAAGAAGCCAAATCTGGTGATGATCTCGTGGAGATAAATTCAGTTGTTGACAAGTTAGGTTTGACATTGAAACATTTCTTAGAGCAAAGGGATCCGTTAATCTGAGAAAATATGGTAACTCCTACCCAGAGGAGCTCGTCAGAGAAGTTTATCCCTGTCAGTATTATTCATTGGATTCATTTCCCCTAAAGGATCAATCTATCGGTGCACCTGTAAATGTGCATGACGATGATAATGCTAAAAATTTTGGATCAGCTTCGGGTGAAGGATATGGCAACATCAGGTCCATAGATCAAGAAAAGAAAGGAGGCCAAATTTCACGAGAAAGCAAGTTCAAACAAAACAAATCAAATCAAGCTTATCTCATGATGAAAATCAGCGTAGGTTTGTAGAGAGGAATTCAAGTGACAGAACATCTTTAATCAATGAGACTGAGGTATCAACTGTTTGGGAGGAACCAGCACAAGTTGCACAAGAAAGTGATGGGCCCTTGATCAGGAGATTGAACTCGAGTGACAGAAAAAGTTTCTTGCCTACAGGAGGTGAAAATATTTGCAGGGGAGCTCATTGTGTTCATTCTGTAGTTAGAAGCAACGTTAGTCCTGTGAAACGACAGAGGAAATTACAATTTTCTAGGTGATGGGCCAATCACAAGAAGGCACATTGATGGCAAAACTACTTGAAGCAAGGTCAGATGTACGGAAGTCTGGTTCTGAGGCAAGCACAAGCTGTTTGGGATGAACCAGAGAAGCTTCTGCTTAGAAAACTGGAATCGGTATGGGTTTCATGCTATGTATTTCATGAACAGGGATAGTAAATATCACTCTACTTTCTAAAGTTGTGACCTTTTTTTCCCCTTCCCTCTGTGCATTAGAATCTTGCTGTTTAGTTGGCTAGACATGCATGCATGAAGGTCCAACAGAGTGGTGTCAATTCTACATGAAAGATATATATTTTGACGCTACGACCAATTTGCCATGGGAAATCGATTTAAAATTTTTGCGCTCACATTCAGTGAGGGGTGAGCGATTCACATGGAGATTCAGTCTCTATAAGATATATGAGTAAATTAACCCTACAAAATGCCATACATATAAGCATAAAAGAATCCATCTTGATGAAAAATTTCCAATATATATATAACATGAGTTTCATGTTTTGCACAAGTCTTGCTTCATAACTTATGATTCGTGCAGCTTCATATGAATTTTATATTATATGTATGAGTATATCTATGATTTTGTATGACTGGGTTCGTTCATCTATCCAAGTTTTACGACTCATTTTCTATAGATGCTAGAAATTACAAGCCTAAGTTAAAAAACATTCTAAGCTGCTGTCGTCATCCATCGTGGAAGTAACTAGGTGATTGGTCTTCCCGCGATTTCAAAATAAATTATACATATGTATGAATATAACACCACATTTTAATGCAAAATCTTGAAGCATTGAGTTTGCGGATTTTTTTATCACTTATATACCTCTTCTACAACACAAGTATTCTATTTGATGGGAACTTTATTTTCATACCAGGTCAATTCAACTTACACTTGACATATCAGTAGTGTTTAATTTGATCCTACATGTGGTATATGCAACCTACATGTGATTTCTTTAAAAAAAAAAAAAAACAAGATGGAGCATCGTACTGAAAGTAATTATATTGGAAAATTGTCATTTACGTTCCTATAGTTACAATTTTATTTCTTCCATGTTACAGATTGCTCTGAAAGAAAATAATTCCCATTTTGGTACACACAAAAGTAATAGGATATAATAAAAAAGTGTCATTTAAGTTGTCTTTGAATAAAAAAATAGGAAGTTATCATTAGGTAAGGAAATGATAATTTATGCAAGCTGAGCTTATTTAGATTAAATTTAAATTACCCTAACCTCATGGGCATTTGAACTTATTTGGACTAGCCTAAATACTTAAATTGTTAAATATTTTTTATTTTAGCCAACTTCAATTTTTATCTTGAAAAATTAAAATATTTCAAAAGCAGCATAACATTTCAACATACCTTTTTTATTTCATTATTAAAATGAGATCAATATTGAAAGAGTCAAAATAAAAGTATATGAATTAACCTCTTGTATTTACTTTTTCATATCCCAAAGAACAAACCATTATTAGAACATTAAAACATCATTTAAGAGTGCAAAATGTTATGAATTGAGAGTTTGGGAGGGGTTTGACAATTATAAGTGAAAGCTGAAGTAAATGTTAATTTCATTTTTTTAGTAATTAAAAAAATCAAGTATTTAAGCTAAGTTTATTCAGATTTGGGGCTTGGCTTAAATTTCTTCAAAAATATTTGGACTAACCCATCAAACTTAGCTCAAATTATTAACTTTAATTACGTAATAATAAATAGAATATGTGATAGATGTTATGTTCTAAATATTGTGAAATTGAGTGGTTTTTCATTTTCATAAAAAAAGTGATATTTTAGAAAGTATTCTCTTATTCCAAATTATAAGAGAACTTTGGAGTAATCTCATCGTCCTAACATATAAGATAAATTAAGAAAATAGAGTTCAATAAAGATATTTTTCCAATATTATTCTTCAAGTGAAGAGAAAATCTAAATGATATTGTAACATAATGATATGATTAAATAGATATGTGGGGACATTTTATTTGTTTTTGTAGAGGGAGGGTCATTTTTGAATGAAAATAATAGACAGATGATCAATTTAAATATTACGAGTTTTATGGCTATACAAGAAGAAGAATAACGATATATGTACACCCACTTAGAGGAATGAGAGTGAAAGTGGTATATGAGGACATGGTTCTGGGGGGGGGGGGGGAAGGTAAGAATGATAGGCAGGGAGCAAAAGCGAGAACCCAAGGACAAAAAATTAGGTGAACGAACGCAACCGTAAGAGGTGGTTATGTTTGATTTGATAAACTAAAGAACGTTTATTAACAATATGATAGAGATGGAGCAAAAATGTTTGTGTGTATGATTACATTATAAAGGGAACAACTTAATTACTTATTATGTATATATATAAAACCGATGATGATGACATTTTATTAGGAAGTGAGGTATATATATGTATTAAATAAATGAAAAGGTTGGGGCCCGGAAGAGGTAAGCACAAGCAGTGACAAAATGAGGAGATCATGCTCCCATTATAGCACCCTTTAAAAAAAGGATCTTTCATGATGATCATCCATTTGGTGCTCCACTATGCAAAGCATTCATATAGAGTCGGTCGCAATCACTTACCTCAACTTTCATTTTCGGCTTGGTTTAAATTTTGATATTTTCAGGAACCTATTCGTTACCACTGTATTTCAACATACACCTTTAGATGCATGATATATATGGATTGCAGTTATTGTGGAAACCAATTCATTATTATTGTTATGTTTAATTCCATTAATTGGGACTTGTTTTTGATTTAGACATAATCCATTATTTGGATGATCTCAATTCAAATCAAAGTTTTTTATTACAATTCTTTTAAAATTTTAAATACATATAATTTACCTTTATTATTCTAATTTTAACTGTCATCTTTTAATATTATCCAAACACATGACAAGTCATACTAGTAGGACAGCTCATTCTTATTTTAGTATGAATTTTTATGCTACCAAAAAAAGGATTTTAAAATATATGGATTTTAAAAATTATATTTTAAATTTTAATTTTGATTCCAAATCAATCTATCCTAACACCACCTAATGTTAACAATTTTATTTTATTTTGTTCACAATGTGAGAGTTACAATCAAGGCTTCAAGTGCATCTTTGCTCCTTAATCATTCGCTTAGGAGCAGAGCCCGTAATTTGGATGAGCTCAAGCTTTTTCATATTAAGTTTAAAGTATCTTATTTCATTTAAAAAAGTTTATATAGTTAAATCCAACCTAACACCTTGTGAACTTCAGGTTTATTAGGGCGGCCCAAATACCCAAAATTTTTAAAAATATTTTTCTCTATTTTTAAATCAATTTTAATTTTAAATAACTTATTAAGTATAAAATATTATTTTGAATTTAAAAAAATAAAAAAATAACTTATCAATTTTATACTTACCTAACTCCATTGCTATTTTGTTATATATATATAATTTAGTAATGAATTTTTTATTCATAAATTAAGGTCTTAGTTGTTTAAATATTTCTTATATCATGATATATATAAATATTTATATATTTTAAGTAAGATCAAGTTAACTTCAATTAATCATGTTGGATCACTACATAAATCATAAACCCCCATTACCCCATAATTCAAAGTTTTTAAGAACTTTGAATAAACTGTACTTTTATTTTTAAGATATAAGAAAAATAGTCATCATTATATTATGAAAAATAAAAATAATTTAATATGAGTAAAATATTATTTGAAATTATTTTTTATTTAGTTTTTTATATTGTTTAACTCCTATATATAAGGGTATTTATCTTAGTTTATTTTAATTTTTAACCAAGTTTGGTGGGACGATAATCAAATGATTATTTAAGAATATTATTCGATTTATATGTTTATCTAGTAGAGTGAGAATTCATACATGCCCAACATTTATTTTAAAATTATTTTTAATTTAATTTTTTATTTTAAAATTAATTATCTTATTTTACAAAACAATATAAAATATTTTTTAGATACTCAAGTCTCAAATGATATTAATACTAAAATTATTTTAAAAAATAAGTGAGTCTTAAAATATAAAAATTAATATTAAAAATATATTTTAA